ACATTATCGGCCATTTTCATTGTGACGAGTTTAATCAGGATAAATTTTTTATCAACAATGTCGAAGTGCAAATGAAACTTATTTGTTCGAAAGATTTCTTCTGTCTAATGGAGGTAAATATTACGTCAAAAATTAGTATTCGACATACGACGTTGCTCATCAGAAAATTTAGAGTAAATCCTGGAATATTACAGACACATATGAAAATGTTGACCAAGACTACGACTAAATTCCCTCTCACGAGAATCGAAGTTAAGACATTTACAATTCACAGCGGTATCGTGGGCGAATCGTTGGATAATATTTAAACATAATTAGACAGTTGCCTATACGCATAATCATCAGTTTTGTCGATATTGAAAAATTTAACGGCGAAAGAAAATTAATCTCGTTTAATTTAACAAATTACGAAGTAAATTACTTCTCGTTGCATGTCAACGGTACTCAAATCCCCAGCAGACTGTTACAAATTAACTTCTTTATCGCATAAATAGTCTTTGTCGAGGTTTACCACACTCTTTTCTTGGGAATCTTCTTTTTGAACGATTAATTCAATGACACAAGAAGTATATCTCAGTGCTTATACTATTTTTGCTTTCGATCTCATCCCCGATTTACCGACAAATTGAGATGTGAATTGGAATTTCGTGAGACACGGATGTTTACAATTGGTGGTAAGATTTGAAAAATTCCTTGACTAGACGATCAACTGTGCCGTTTACGCAGAATTCGACAATGTACTAGAAATCGATTCTAATCCGATGCGTCAAGTCATTGTCGATTATTTCGGTTACAAAGAAAATGTTCCCTTCCGTTCATATTAACGACAACGACTCTCTATACAAAATCACCGAGGAAATATATGTGTATGTGAAAAAGAAGAGTTCGATCTACTTCAAAACATGAACGTTATAATTTGGTCAAAAAGAAACAGCCACGATTGTCGACAATATGGAAGTGATTGTCGAAGTATATGGTTTCCGGGATAGTGGGGATCGCTTTGTAGCTAAGGAAATAGCTGTTGTAGCGTTTAAGGGCACACAAGTCAAACACTGGATCTTGCTACTGGCGTATCTGTGTGAAGAGCTGAATGAAAAATCGAGACGGTAGAATAATTGATTTTCATGGTATTATCATGGATTCAAGTGGTAGGACCAGGAAATCAAAATATTTTCCCACCCATTTGCGCGAAGTTACGAGACACGTGACCGCTGTCTATACTAGAGACACCAAAAAAGCCTGCTACTTGCAAAGTATATCAACGCGAAACATTTATTCTCTGGAAGGAATGTCTCCTTCGTTCAAACATTTTCCATCCTTTGAAAACGCAGTGTGTTGCAAGTACTATGCTTATAGCAGGCGCAGACGTTTTTAGTGCGCGTTAAGAAGTGCAAAAATTGAAGCATTGTTTTATCGCTCGAAACCAAAGCGTCGACGACGAGGAGAATAACGTTTATGCGATCCGATGCTTGTCTCGAGAAATTGATAATAACGACATTTGCGAGGAGTCGAAAGACAAGAGCAACTGGGAAAGCAGTTTTTCCTTCGAAACTCGCAGGTTACGATTGGAGGATTGGGTGAAGAAGGGTAGTATTGGTACAGCCATGGTGGGTATAAACATTCACAGACCACCTACACGTCTGGCGCCAGGGGCGTGGCCTAATTTTGGGGAGAGGTAGTGGGAGTAGTCTGACGCAACTGTGGTGTGGAGATAGGGCGGTGGGGCTAAGCCCCGAGAATTTTTTATCGTCGCGTGTACCTGACTTCTTTTTATCAACTTTTAGATTTTCTAGAAGGAAGGCATGTGGAGTGTAGCTTTGGAAACTGCCCCGAAGGCCGGTATCCGACGCCATATATACAGGGAAATATATATGTAGGGAAGAGTGGGTCAAAGTTTCATTCTGTATTTACTAAGTTCTTATTTTAACAAAAAAAATATGTGACACGAGATTCCATCGTCTTGACTCGTCGCTGGTAGGGTGCGGACTGACGAGATAACGACTAGGGCAAGGGACAGGCGCAAAAGAGAGGGGATAAACGGGGTGAAGATGGAACTTGATGTAAGAGAGGACTGGATTTATTTTTTATCGCAGTGTCTGCTATGGTGCAACGTTGTGATTGGCCGTCCGCGGTGGGAGTTTTGAATTTTGGCCAATAATCCGATGATCAAGTATAGTGCATGATTTGATTGTCCGTTCATCAGCGCGTTGGCTATGGGGCAAAAGGGAGAGGACATGCAAAGAAAACACGGACGCACGGTCAGATAAAAAACTACGACAAAGTTTCTTTTGTTTTTATCGTAAAAATTTAATTATATATCGACCTTATGACGAGAATAGACCTGAGCATATTTTCAGGTAACATTCATGTTTCGTCAAGATTCGCCAAGCGGTAATGTCGTAAAAAATGTTTTCGAATGTGCGCGAATGTATGAATTACATAGCTCATATGTAAATTTCGCATTTTTCTTTCAAGGTTGTAGTAAAAGGATATCACGATACGAGAGAAATGTTAAAGTTTTTTGAATTTGTTAGTTCTTGCGTAAGGGAGATATTGAGGTAAAGAGAAGTAGAGACCGTTTAAATGTCAGGGGATTACAATTTTACTTAAAAAGTCATGTTGTAGCGTTTATAATAATGTTTCAAACAATTTCTTTAAAATGAATATAAACTATTTCATAAAATACAATTTCAAAGTAATTGTCCAAAAATTCTAAATTTTTTATTTGTCGACTCACATTTTGCGCAATTCTTGATGATTATTGAGAAGCGTTTGTTTCACAACGTTCTCATCGTTAATACGCTTGGGCAGATTTAATACTATTTCTGTGATCAGTAGTCGAGTGCATTCGCTGACAAGTTTCCAAAGCGAAATTAATCGCTCGTGCCATACATTTATATATTTCACAACATCTTCGAAACCGATAGATGATTTCTGCGTCACAACAGATGGATGTAGGTTTTGTACTTCTATGCAGGTGGCAGTGCAGAAGAATCGTTTAAATGGTAAAATGTGTCTTGTTATATGATGGCTTGTTATATTTTGCTTATAGTCTTTGTGAAACGAAAATTTAGTGTAAAGAAAAGAGAGTGGAATATTTATTGCTTAGCATGGGTTCTGCCTGGCACATCGTAGTAATTAGCTGTTCGTTGTACGCGTTTCGAATTTTGGTCAGTCAACCACGTGTCAGTAGTGGAACAAAAGATATGCAGGAAAAACGTAAGCGTTGCCAGATAAATTATTACGATAACGATTCTTTAATCCCGACTTCGTAAAAATTATGTGTACAAGGGACCTATAGGAATATAAGGACCAGAGCATATTTTTGGGCAACGCAAATGTCTCGATAAGTTTCATCAAACAACAGTGACAGAAAGAATGTTCTCGAATGTTTGCAAATGACTTAGAAAAATGAAACTGGGAATAGGGACAAAACGTAGTCTTTTAGAAATTCAATTCAATTTTATTTAAAGGGTAAAATATGATTTGTGATAATTTATACTTGTGGTTGTTCTGGAATGAAAATTTATTGTGAGGAAGAAAGAGTAGAACATTTATTATTTGGCAAGATATCAGCTATGGCGCATTATTGTGATTGACTCCATGCAGCAGGGGTTTCGAATTTTGGATAATCAACCGGGTGATAAAAATGGTGTATGGTTGTGATTGGGCGTTCGCAGAGCGCGTTTCGAATATTGGATAGTCAACCGCGTGTCAGCAATGATGTAAAAAGGAAATGGTTTGCAAAGAATAAGTAGACATTATCAGGTAAGTGACTACGACAATGATTCTTTAATTCATACATCGTAAAAATTTTTATATATCGACTCCACAGCTGAATAAATCTTTGTGCATATTTTCAATTAACGCACATGGGAATGGAGAAACGCACGCGTTGTCAGAAAAAGTTTTCTACTACTGCGCATACTTTGCAAGGTCTCAGCAAACAATTATGCACGAGATTTTTTAATCTGTAGATCGTAAATCTTTTATTTATAAGCTCTGTGAGCGAGTCGAAGTCTAAGTAATATTTTAAGTAATGCACTTTTCCGACAAATTTTAATAAACGGTTAAGCTGAAATTTTTTCTAATCTTCAGATCATAAATTTTGTATACATGCTACGCGGAAAAATCATTAAGTATATTTTCATGTAACACGAGGTCACAAATTTTATTTAGATACGCTTCATAGAGGATTTTGAAAGAAAACGTAGAAAGAAAACATGTTTGAAGTTCAAGAAAGATCCGAATTAATTTTACATAATATAACAAAAATCTTCGACGCTGAAAATTTTCGCCTTGCTCATTTGAGGCAAAGTTATAGCATACCGAATTTATTAGTGGTTGCGCAAGAGAGGGAAAAGATATTAAGGTATTAAAAAGCAAATACTATTTTAAAAGTGAAAATCTATATTTTTTTTAATTTCACGTTTTGCAAAATTTTATTTGTGAAATACTACGTTCTTCATAATTGCTCTAAACAATTACTTCGGAATGTAAAGAAGATGGTTTATAAAATTTAATTTTAAAGTGGCTATTCAAAAATTTTAACCTTTTTATTTGGCGTCGTACACTTTAAACGATGCCACGATATTGATCGACAAGCGTTTGTTATATACGAGGTCTGTTCAAAAAGTATCGCGAATTTTGAATTTCCGCGGGTTACGTATATTCGATTTTCGATTTTTTGTGGCGTTATATTGGTACTCATGTCCCTCACTTATGCCGACTAGTTCAGCCATTTTGAATATTCAGTTTATCTTTGAGAGCTGTTTTGCTTGGACGTGTTTTGACTCGTCTTCGATTTTTGCCTATTCCAAAAAATGGATCAAAGAATCTGTATCAAATTTTGTGTGAAAAACAAAATTAAGTGCGCGGACGCATTCCGAATGTTGACTGTGGCATATGGTGAAGCTACCTTGGACCGAAGCAACGTTTATCGGTGGTACAAAATGTTCTCAGAGGGCCGAGAAGATGTGAACGACGAAGAGCGTGCCGGACGCCCGAGCACGTCAACAACAGACGAAAACATTGATGAAGTGAAGAAAATAGTATTGGCCAATCGTCGAATCACCGTTAGAGAAGTTGCTGAGGACCTAAACATATCGATTGGCTCGTGCCATTCGATTTTTACTAATGATTTGGGCATGAGACGGGTCGCCGCGAAATTCGTACCAAAATTGCTCAATTTCGACCAAAAACAGCATCGCATTAAAATTTCTGGGGAGCTGTTGGACTCTGTCCGCGACGACCCAAATTTGCTCCAGAGGGTTATAACTGGTGACGAATCATGGGTTTATGGTTATGACGTGGAAACCAAAGTTCAATCATCCCAATGGAAGCTGCCGCACGAGCCAAGACCGAAAAAAGCGCGCCAAGTTCGGTCGAATGTGAAGGTTTTGCTTAGAGTTTTCTTCGATTGCAGGGGCGTGGTGCATCATGAGTTCTTGCTACAAGGTACAACGGTCAATAAGGAATATTATCTGCAAGTTATGTGCAATTTGCGCAAAGCAATCCACCAAAAACGCCCGGATTTGTGGAAGAACAAAAATTGGCTTTTGCACCATGATAACGCCCCTGCTCACACATCGTTGCTTATGAACGAATTTTTGGCCAAAAACAACACACTAATGATGCCGCAGCCACCGTATTCCCCAGACCTGGCCCCCTGTGACTTTTTCTTGTTCCCGAAACTGAAGAGGCATGAAAGGACGACGCTACGCTACGATTGAGGAGATAGAGACGGCATCGAAGGAGGAGCTGAACAAGATCACAAAAAATGATTTTTTGAAGTGCTTCGAGGATTGGAGAAAACGTTGGCACAAGTGTGTAATATCTGATGGGAATTACTTTGAAGGAGACAAAATAGATATTCATGAATAAATAAATAATTAAAAAAAAAAACACGAAATTAGCGATACTTTTTGAACAGACCTCGTATAGTTTTAAGAAACAAAATTTATTTGATTAAACTAAATATTTTGATCATTAAACTAAACTTTGATAATTAATAACGAATCTTAACAGCAGAAAATGAAATATATTTTACAACTATTACTAAACATATATTTTGCAAAGAAAATCTGTTTAGATAATAATTATCATTTTACTAAAAGAATTTTATCGTTTTACGTAAATTATTTTAAGATAACTCTATATTCCTATTTTATATTCATGTACATTTTTCATATCGCAATAACTTTATATTCCTATTTTATATTCATGTACATTTTTCATTTCGCAATGAAAATTTGTTTGGATAATAATTATCATTTTACTAAAAGAATTTTATCGTTTTACGTAAATTATGTTAAGATAACTTTATATTCCTATTTTATATTCATGTGCATTTTTCATTTCATATATAAAGAATTTCTCGTAGTAGCCATCCATCCAACTACTGACCCGCGATTCGTACTATTTTACTTCAGTGATTAGACAGAAAACGGTCTTACAAGTTTTCGTCATGTCTTTACATCTCGTGTTTATAATGTGTCTTTGTATGGAGAACGAAAAAGAGATTAAAGAATCAGTAAGTGGAAGAAAGTGAGAAAGAAGGAGAGAGAGAGAGAGAGAGAGAGAGAGAGAGAGAGAGAGAGAATTCATAAATATAAACTAATATTTTACCAAATATTTTATATAAATGAAAATAAATGTTTTGTAATACTAAATATTTAATAATAATTATCAAACATTTAATAACTGATGTAAATATTTTATAATTTTGTTAAATATTTGATTAAATATTTGGAAGCAACTATTATTTTATTTTGTTGATTCAACTCTGAATATAAGTCGTTTATACTGTAGGCCACCAAAATATTTAGTAATTAACATCAAATTTCATTTCAATTACCAAATTTTCTGTCGAAATTTCGAACTAAATGCATTTAATAAGTGTTATCAGTCTTTTTTCAGTGTACATAGTCGGTGTGACGAGGAAGATTACCCGCGAACGTTTGAAAAGTCTGACGTTATGGTCAGTGTGTGCATTGACATTATCAAACGTATTAATCCTTCCATATAATGATAATTTATTCTCATCGAACAATCGCATTATGGCTCTTATTGGCATACACTCGTATTTCCTTGATTAAAATGACAAGAGCATCTAATACATATTTAATTTGTTAATCGTCGTTATAATTCCTGAGGTTGCAAAGTTCAAATTGGCTTTCCACAGGTTGTCGATGTTCGTGATATAATTCGAGCGCGAGAATTTATGGCGTATTAGTCGGTGTAGAATGTACCAGGTGTAGAAGTATGAAACCGGAATTTTTTTGTAAAAATTACACGTTTGTTGTTTGAAAATGATAAAAAATATTTTATTCAAAATAATGTCCATTGCTATTTATACATTTTTCCCACCTCTCAGGCAGTTCATGAATGCCACGCCAAAAAAACATTTCTTTTTTTGAAGCGAATCAGCTATCGAGCCATTTTCGTACATTTTCATACGAATTGAAGCGTTGTTAAGCGAGAGCGTGTACCATTGATGCGAATAGATGATAATCAGACGGAGCCAAATCTGGAAAATAAGCCGCATGCGTTAGTATTTCCCAACTGAACGACTCGATCGTTTCCCTGACCCGTTTTCCTGTGTGTGATGGGGCATTATCATGGAGCAAAATTACTTTTTGTTGCCTTTTTCTATGTTCCGGTCGTTTTTCACGCGATTTAAATCGATCATTTGCTGTTGGTAACGATCAGTGTTAACGGTTTCACCAGGTTTTAGCAGCTCATAATAGATTACACCCTTCTGATCCCACCAAACACAGAGCATTGTCTTCTTTCCAAAGCGATTGCAGTGGATGTCGATGGTTCGCCTGGATTCCCCCATGATTTCTGACGCTTAGGATTCTCAAAATATATCCATTTTTCATCACCTGTCATGATACGATGGACTTTCTTTTGTATCTGTCGAGCAGCATTTCACAAGTGGGTTTCGATTTTCTTGTTGTCTTTCATTCAGTTCATGCGGAACCCATTTTCTCACGTTCTGAGTTTTTCCCATGGCTTTCGAACGAATGGAGACAGCTTTCTGTGTCACATTCAATTCATTCGCGAGTTCTTGTTGAGTTTGAGTATCATCTTCATCCAATAAGGCTTGCAATTCGTTGTCTGCGAACTTTTTCGGTGGTTTCCCACGCTCTTCGTTTCTCATGTCAAAATCACCACTTTTGAATTTTTTGAACCACTCGAAACACTGTGTTTTACCAAGAGCATGTTCACCGTAAGCTTCGACAAGCATTCGATGCAATTCTGCAGCAGTTTCCTTCAAATGATAACAAAAAACCAATGCTGTCTGCAAATCGTAGTTCGTAGGCACAAAACTCGACAGGTTTAAGGTTATAGAAAAATATACCGGTGTATGGAACTTGGGTTGTTTGTTGAAAATCTTTGTCAGCTGTTAGAGGGAGATGATGGCGCTGCAAAAGCGGTCTTACGGTCCCTAAACTGATGACTAGCACCATCTATATGGAAATTCCGGTTTCATATTTCTATACCTGGTAACACGTTCATTGCCAATCACGCTATATCGCGTGATGCGAGTTCTCACCAAACGGCCGATCACGCGTTATCGCGTAACAGATATTTAGAGTACATAAATCCTATTTACATGATAATAAATGCATATAAATAATATATTAACTTATTTTGAGTACAATAAAAACTAAATAAGTAAATAAAAAGAATACAAAATTCCAATTTTCAGCTTGGCAGTGAACGTATTAACCCGGCAAGCCGGACATATAGAGACTATTAACACGGCTTACATAATTTATAATTAATAGCTAATAACCGCGTACTATATAACGACGAATCGATGCGGTCACTATTTGCTATGTCACTCGTGATTGCTGTCCGTGCGTATCCGCGACGCTGATTCGGAGATACAAT